ACTCTGCCCTGGGAGTTGGAGGAAGAATTATGACGTCGCGTGATGAAAGCCGAGTTCCCTCGGAAGTCTAGGGGCTGATGCCTCTTCTGACAACCAGAGCAACCATTTTTTTAGGTACATGGAACGTTCGTACATTGTGGGAGACTGGAAGACTATTTCAAGTTGCGGCAGAAATGAGAAGATACAACCTCGAGGTGCTTGGAATCAGTGAAACACATTGGACACAAGTAGAACAACTGAGACTAGCTTCAGGGGAACTGCTGTTATACTCTGGTCATGAAGAGGAAAATGCTTCACATACACAAGGAGTTGCATTGATGCTGTCCAAACATGCACAAAAGGCACTAATAGGATGGGAATCTCATGGACCCAGGATCATTAAAGCATCCTTCAAAACAAAGAAACAGGACATTGCAATGAACGTCATCCAATGTTATGCACCTACCAATGACTACAATGACGACGTTAAAGATCAATTCTACGAAAGGCTGCAGTCAGTCGTCGATAAATGTTCACCAAAGGATTTGACGATTCTTATGGGAGACCTGAATGCCAAGGTTGGAATGGACAACACTGGATATGAAGACATCATGGGACGACATGGACTGGGAGAAAGGAACGAAAACGGTGAGAGATTTGCAAACCTATGTGCCTTCAACAAACTGGTCATCGGTGGCACAATATTCCCGCACAAACGCATTCACAAAGCCACATGGATTTCACCGGATCACACTACTCAAATCCAGATTGATCATATCTGTATCAACAAAAAGTTCAGAAGGACTATGGAGGATGTGAGAACCAGGAGAGGGGCTGATGTAGCCTCAGATCACCATTTGCTAATCGCCAAAGTGAAACTGAAACTAAAGAAGCACTGGACAACGGGACAGACAACATCACAGAAGTTTATTACAGCCTTTCTTCGGGATACTGTAAAGCTCAACGAATTCAGGATAGCCCTCACCAATAAGTTCCAGGCCTTACAGGATCCACACAATGGAGAGGACACAACATTGGAGAACAATTGGAAAGGGATTAAGGAGGCAATCACTTCAACATGTCAGGAGGTCCTTGGTCGCAAGAAGCAGCATCATAAGGAATGGATCTCTGTTGATACTCTCGCAAAAATTGAAGAAAGGAGGAACAAGAAGGCATCAATCAATGTCAGCCGAACAAGAGCGGAGAAAGTTACCGCACAAGCTGCATACACAGAAGCATGCAGACAAGTGAAGAAGAGCATCAGAGCTGACAAACGAAAATACGTGGAAGATCTAGCAATGACGGCGGAAAAGGCTGCAAGAGACGGAAACTTGAGACAATTGTATGAAACTACAAAGAAGCTCGCCGGGAACTATCGTAAACCAGAACGACCAGTGAAATGCAAGGAAGGCAAAGTAATCAGCAACACTGAAGAACAGCGAAATAGGTTGGTAGAGCACTTTAAGGAACTCCTAAATCGACCAGCTCCTCTGAAGACACCCAACATCGAAGCAGCATCCACGGACCTCCCAATTAATATTGGCGCACCTACGATTGAGGAGATCAGTATGGCCATCAGACAAATCAAGAACGGCAAAGCAGCAGGACCAGACAACATTCCAGCAGAGGCAATGAAAGCAGATGTAGAAGCAACCGCGAAAATATTTCACATCCTCTTCAAGAAGATTTGGGATGAGGAACAAGTACCATCAGATTGGAAGGAAGGATACCTGATCAAAATACCAAAGAAAGGCGACCTCAGCAAGTGTGAGAACTACAGAGGCATCACTCTTCTTTCAATACCAGGCAAAGTCTTCAACAGGGTATTGTTAAACAGAATGAAGGACTTCGTTGACGCCCAACTTCGAGATCAACAGGCCGGATTTCGGAAGGATCGATCGTGTACTGACCAAATTGCTACATTACGGATAATTGTGGAACAATCAATTGAATGGAACTCACCACTCTACATCAACTTCATCGACTACGAGAAAGCATTCGATAGCGTGGACAGGAAAACACTGTGGACTCTTCTTCGACACTACGGGTTGCCTGAGAAAATAGTTAACATCATACGGAACTCTTATGATGGATTCAACTGCAAAATCGTGCACGGAGGACAGCTAACCGACTCTTTCGAGGTAAAGACCGGTGTCAGGCAAGGTTGCTTACTTTCACCCTTTCTCTTTCCCCTGGTGATCGACTGGATTATGAAAACGTCAACAGCTGGAGGGAAGCACGGTATCAACTGGACAGTTAGGACGCAGCTGGACGATCTGGACTTCGCAGATGATCTGGCTCTTCTATCGCACACTCAACAACAAATGCAAGAGAAGACGACGAGTGTAGCAGCAGCCTCTGCAGCAGTAGGTCTCAACATACATAAAGGAAAGAGCGAAATTCTCCGATGCAACACAACATGCACCAATCAAATCACTCTTGATGGAGATGCCTTGGAGGACGTTAACACCTTTACATATCTGGGCAGCATCATCGACAATCAAGGTGGATCGGATGCAGATGTGAGGGCACGGATTGGCAAAGCAAGGGCTGCATTTCTACAGTTGAAAAATATCTGGAACTCCAAACAGATATCAATCAACACCAAAATAAGGATTTTCAATACAAATGTCAAGACAGTTCTACTGTATGGAGCGGAAACATGGAGAACTACCAAAGCCATCATCCAGAGGATACAAGTGTTTATTAACAGCTGTCTACGTAAAATACTTCGTATTCGTTGGCCAGACACCATCAGCAACAACGAACTGTGGGAGAGAACAAGTCAGATTGCAGTGGAGGAGGAAATCAGGAAGAAGCGGTGGAAGTGGATAGGACACACTCTACGAAAAGCACCTAACTGCGTCACGAGACAAGCCCTCACATGGAACCCCCAATGCAAAAAGAAAAAGAGGAAGGCCAAGGAATACATTACGCCGTGAAATAGAGAAAGATATGAGAGGAATGAACAAACATTGAACAGAACTGGAGGAAGAAGCCCAGGACAGAGTTGGTTGGAGAAAACTGGTGGGCGGCCTATGCTCCATTGAGGGTAACAGGCGAAAGTAAGTAAGTAAGTATATGTTATGATTCACTAGAGTTCTTACTTTTATTTGCTCACGCCTCTTACCTCCAATGGAGCATAGGCCGCCGACCAGTATTCTCCAACCTACTCTGTCCTGGTCCTCTCCTTCCAGTTCTGTCCAATTTTTATGCACTATTCGCATGTCTGTCTTCTTTTCACGACTTAAGGTGTTTCTTGACCTTCCTCTTTTCCTATGACCTTAAAGGTTCCAAGTGAGATCTTGTCTTGTGATGCAGTTGGGTGCTTCCTTCAATATGTGTTCTGTCCACTTCCAGCGCTTCTTTCTAATTTCCTCCTCCACTGGAATCTGGTATGTTCTTCCCCACAGTAGGTAGTTACTGATGGTGTCTGGCCATCGAATGTGAAGTATTTTGCGTAGACAACTTATAATAAACACTTGTATCTTCTGTATGATGGCTTTGGTAGTGTTCCAAGTTTCCACCCTATTCAGTAGAACTGTCTTGACATTTGTATTGAAAATTCTGACCTCTGTTTGTTGACAGTTATTTCGAGTTCCAGGTGTAAAAACTGTTAGAGATCTTGAATGACAATGGTTGAAAATTGTTTGCAATGGCGCAGGTACATTCACTCGTTGCGTTCTATGAAATACTTAATCTTCTGAATTCGTCATCACCTCTATCTTTCGCTTTGTAAATTTATCTCACTGAATCATACTTGTTGAATCATTACTTCGAACTGTAATCTTCTCCATTACCGCTAGTACTTGGTAACGTCTCTGCCACTATGGAATTTCGAAGTGACAGTTGCATCTCTGTGCTAATGTGGTATGCCAGCAACCTGAACTTGAATATACTCATGTATGAAGTTCTACGTTGTAACTGTTTGACTTACTGTGAGCACATATACTGTGTTGCGCGCTACTTATAAGTAGTATATGACGCGAGTGTAAACGTAATGTCTGGCAGCCGGAGATGGGGAAAGATCAAGAAAGGAAGAGTGGGAACACAATGGAATTTGTATGAAACACATGAATAAGTGAAATGTCAGACAATGGATTGATGATGGATTGAAGATTTGCAAATTACGCGTTTACGATATGGTTTTCCTATTTTACTGAGTAACTCTGTAATTTTCGTTAAATTCAATTCGGTTGCCCTCACGTGTGTTCTCCTTCACTACAATACTAGCAAGATGTATGTATGTAACTTAAAAAATAGACTTTACATTATTTGAAATTTAAACCTTGTGTCAGTTTATGTCATAGACTATTGTTAATTGACTAAGAATATATAACAATGACTTACGCAATTGATTAGAATACCATAATAATAACAGTAATAATAATAATAATAAACTGTAAAAATGTATTACAAAATGATATCTGTCTGTACAATCTGTTTAAATTCATTCATGCAATTCTATTTTATAATTTCCAATTACAGGTTAAAATGATTATGGCAACTAATCGTCCAGATACTCTTGATCCAGCTCTGCTTAGACCTGGACGTTTAGATAGAAAAATTGGTAGGTTATTTTTTTTTGTATCCTTTACCGAGAAATTGATTATTTGTAGAAATTCCTTTGCCAAATGAACAAGCTCGAATGGATGTATTGAAAATACATGCAGCTCCAATAGCCAAACATGGTGAAATAGGTAAAAAGTGTAATTTTTCTTTTGAAAAAAAAACGTTTTCCTTCCTTACTTACTTACTTACTTACTTACCCCTGTTACCCTTAATGAAGCATAGACCATCACCCCGACCAGTTTTTTTTATTCTGGTTAGCGTTTTATTTAGAGAGTTAATTTTCCATGGAATTGGATCGGCGCTAACTTCATGCCCAACGTCGTTCCTCCTTTATCTCTGGGCTTAGGACCAGCAGCAGAAATATCAGAAAGAGAGCTTTAGGCGAAGTTATTTCATTTACCGATTTACTAGATTGTACAATATGAAATACCTATTTATTCTTATAAGGTCGAAATTA